AGAGTTGTGACGATAATCTCTTTCAAGAGAGATTGAGCCTGCTCTTCCCTACATAAGTACGTCAATATACAAGAGACTATATACAAAATACGTTCACCAAGTATCGCCAAACGTTTTGCCCAGAGAGCAAATCGTACCCAGCACACCGTGACACCTGCTACCACTGCCGTAACCAGCTAACCACCAGCTCATCCTCTGCCTGCCTGTCGCTGATTGGCTGGTGACTCGTCGCCCCTGCCCTCCGCCTCCACCACAAGTCGACGTCTGGGCTGCAGTACGGCAGTATCGTCAGAATATCTCAGTGCTCCAAGCAGTTGACATCTCTCGCTGGTAGACTAAGCCTTGGCTTTCGTGTACTAAGGAAGGTGGCAGCTCGAAGCCAGTATTCCAGCACCACTTATATTTTATTTTGCTATCACTGTAACTTGTCTTAACGTAACTTTTCATTTGCCAGTGATTATTCATATTATTTTGTTTGTTGACTTATGTTGCATATTTTTATGTGATTACCTTTATTCATGTCTTGTTTTTCTAGAGTAATTAAAATTTCATTGTTTATATACTTGTGTTTTGTGTGTCTTCCCATTACCTTACCACAGACGAAAGGACACACTTTTCTCTCTTTTTTTTGATTATGTGACGAGGCCCTGCCCCTAGCTTTTGAAACAGCCGAACACCAACGCTTTACCGTCACAATATATATATATATAATGTGACGAGAAATGTAGGTGTTAAGGCAGTCTTCTCTATGGCTGGTGTAAATGCCAATCACATTAAAAAAAAAAGAGAGAAACAAAATGTTGACTGCTTGGCGGTTGTCTCCTGTGGTAAAGTGAAAGGGAAAAACACGCAAAACAATTCATATAAATAATGAACTTTAATTTACTTTAAACAAATATAAACAAAATAAAGATAATCCCTTGGCTATGTACAGTGCGGATCAAAATATATACAAAGACAAAACACAATATAAAATAAAATAATGATTACGTTACTCTACAATAAGCAAGACAAAAATTAGTTAAAGGTGCTGAGAATAGTGGGCTGGCTGAAACCTCTACTAATATACAGGACGTATGCTTAGATAGAAGCGTCAGCTCTAGAGCACGAAAATATTCTGAGGCCAACTGCTCGTGCGAGACTATATATAGACGATGCAGATGGCGCTGGAGTCACGTGAAGTTGGTGATTCACTAATGGGGAGATTGTTGATTTGAAGTGGTCGTTTGGTGATCGACGAGGTGGTGCGCCGACAGTGAGGGAGGTGGGTGAGGAGAGTGAGAGTTGGGTAGTGTACCCCCTGTAGAGACGTCTGTTATTCCACTAATATACTATTCTTGAATGTGGTATCATGATGTTGCAAAAGTATAGAAGTAACTTCATGTAGGAAGGAGCAGGCTAAATTTCTCTTGAAAGAGATTACTGTCACAGCTCTCCCCCCGAAGCCTGCTCTTACATGTTAAGTTACTTCATTAGACTGTAGAGTGGTAGGAGTAGCTGTCTCTACCTCGTAGACTCTGGAGAGGGCGTCTGCTATGATGTTATCCGAGCCTTTAATGAAGTATATCTCCAGGTTAAAGTTCTGCAGGTACAGAGCCTAACGTAGAAGGCGTTAATTGCTGAACTGGGCTTATTGCAGATATTGTAAGGGAGTGTGGTCTGAATAGATGGTAATGACCGATTACCTTGTAGGTAAGGTTCGAAATGTTGAAGGTTCAGGACGATGGAGGGAAGTTCTTTTTCTATGGTGCTATAGTTCCTCTGATGAGGCTTCAATTTGTAGCTGTAGTAGCTGACAGGAAGAATCTCTTCGCCACGCTGTTGCATTAGAACGCCCCCAATGCCAGTGCCACTTGAGTCGACATTGATGATGAAGGGCTTCATAATATCTGGAGAGGCGAGATTGGGATTAGAACATAGCAGAGACTTTAGTTGTTCAAAGGCAACGGTCTGTTGAATGGTCCATTGAATGGTCCAATGATACCGTTGCTTGGGGCTGGTCAGATTAATCAGTGGTGTCGCAACCGTACTGATTTTTTTTACAAACCTACGATAGTAAGATGCAAGGCCAAGGAAGCACAGGAGCTGCTTCCTGGTTGTAGGTTGTGGGTAATGTTGAATGGCTTGAGTATAAATGGCTAAAGGAGCTAGGCTGCCATTTCCTATCACATGACCAAGATAACGCACTTTACCTTTACAAAGGTGGACTTGCCCAAGTTGATGGTAAGGCCAGCTGTCGGGAGCTTAGAGAACAATCGTTGCAGCTGGAGCAGATGTTCGTTCCAGGTGTCAGTTGCCACAACGATGTCAAGCAATTAGGCGTAGGTATGATCTAGGCCATGGATGACGCGGTTAAGAGCTCTCTGGAAGGTGGCCGGGGCATTACACAGTCCAAAAGGAAGGCGTTCATATCGGTACAGGCCAAAAGGAGTGGTTAAGGCAGATATTTCCTTTGCCCGCTCTGTCAGACTAATTTGATAGTAGCCTTTTAACAAGTTAATCTGGGAAAGATAAGTAACATTACCTACGGCGTCAAGGATTTCATCTATACCAGGTAATGGGTATCAGCATCCTTGACGGTCACGAGATTCAGTTTCCTATAGTCTGTACATAATCGTACTTTACCATGAGGTTTCAGCACCAAGATGCAGGGTGAGGCCCAAGGGGACTCACAAGGGGTGGCCAGCCCATGATCCAGAAGGTACTGTACTTCAGCATGCATAACTTCTTTTTTGTACGGGCAGATGTGGTAGAAGGGTTGACGAATCGGCCGGGTATCAGGAAGTAGCTGGATGTCGTGTTGAACCACATTGCTTTTCTGGGGATCATCGCTGAACAACTTCTGATGTTCTTGAAATTCTCTGATGAGAGGATCACTGTTACAGTCCTGCAAATATTTAGGAAGGTCTGTAAGAATTTCCGAGTTGGAAGGCACTGACTCAGAGTTAGTGCTTTCTGGAGGAGAAGCAGGGAAGGTCTCACTGTGGAGGTATGGATCTTGAAAGGTGGAGAGAGATACTAACACAGTGGGGGTGTACCTTTATACTTCTTCAAAAGATTGACGTGGCACAACTGGGTCCTCCGCGGCCTATCTGGAGTCTCAAGAACGTAGTTGTGGTTGTTTCTGCACTCCTTGATGCGGTAAGGTCCTTAAAACTTATTTTGCAATGGAGAACCAGGAATCGGAAAATATGCTAAAATGAAGTCACCTGCTTTAAATTTCCTGATTTTACTGTGTTTGTCAAAATGAGTCTTCATCGTATCTTGAGCTTTCAATAAATTATCGTTGGCAAATTTATGCACTCGCTCTAGAATGTGCTTTAAGTTTTGAAGACACTGGGGCACATACAGAGGGTCATTGAAGGTGGCATTATGTAGAGAGTCTTTAAAAGCTTTAAGAGCAGTACGGCACTTACGTCCATAGAGCATCTCATAAGGAAACACTCCTAGAGACTCATTTGGGAGACTTCTGAAAATGCACATGATGATGTCAAGTTGTTTATCCCAGTCTTTCAGGGTTTCATTGCATAATTTCTTTAGGAGTGATTTTATAGTTTGGTGACTACGTTCAAGAGAACCCTGTGAAGCAGGATGATAGGGGCTGGACAATACCTGAGTAATATTGAATTCTTCCAGTGTCTTCTTGAAGAGATCACTGGTGAAGTTGGTGCCACAGTCACTTTGAATCTCCCAAGGAAATCCATATTGTGTAAAGCTCTTCAACAGTTGCTTCACCACAGTAGCAGCTGTAATGTTCTTTACAGGAACTGCTATGGGGAATCTGGTGGTTGGACACAGGATGGTTAGTATATAAGCGTTGCCAGAACAGGTCCGGGGTAAAAGACCAACACAGTCTATGATGAGTGTGTGAAAGGGTTCCGAAGGCACCGGGATAGGAATCAAAGGAGCCTTGGGAATAGAGATGTTGAGTTTTCCTGCCATCTGACATGTATGACACTGTTGTACATAAGTTTTTACATCCTTAATCATACCTGGCCAGTAATGGTCTTGTCTGTTGGCGTGATAGGTTTTATTAAAACCGTAGTGAGAAAGCGCTCCATGGGCCAGGTGTAGAATATTGGGCCGTAGGCTGGTGGGAAGTACTAGTTGGTCGACATTAGCCCAATCGTCATCCTCCGTTAGTTTACTGGGTCGGTACCTCTGGTAGAGCAATTGATTCTCTATTAAAGAACCCAGAAATACTATCATATTGAGTCTCGGCCTTGGAAGAATAATGGTTTTAATGAGGGGTCCTCCCTCTGCAACTTACGGAATTCCAACATAGTAAGATTCGGTGGTAGATTCTGATGGTCTTGAGGGACAGATGTTGAAGCAGAGTCACCTGTTTGCGGGCGTGCAGCTTGCGCATGGGTTGTCACCAAAACCGGAGGAGAGACTTCGTCACTTTCTTGGACCTCTGCTGGAGTATACTTCAGGATGGGGTTTTCCACGACAGAGTCACATACCTGGGGTTTGTCCATGATGATCATGTTGGAAGGTTGTAGATCTTCGGCCAAGTCGTTGCCCAGGAGAAGTTGTACCCCTGACATGGGAAAAGGCTTTTCCCTGATGGCGACTTGGACTTCACCTTGTACTAAAGGACAATCCAGGTGGACTCTGGTGAGTGGATACGGAGTGGTAGCAGTGAGGTCAGTGATAAGGACCGTCTCCCTGGTGTAGGTGATGTTAGGCACAGCCGATTTCAAAATTATAGACTGAAGAGCAGCTGTGTCCCTCAAGATCTTCACTTTGAAACATCCCTCCGAATCTATACTGTTGGCAGAGACAGTTCCAGGGTACAGGTGTTTGCTGGAGAGAGAAAGATCTTTAACAGGAACACCAACATTCATCACAGGCTTACCGGACTTAGGAGGAGTCGGTTTGGGTTTAGGAGTTTCACTATTGCCTTTGTATTGGGCTTTTCCACATTTATCTATGGTATGTCCATAGAGCTTGCAATACCTACAATATAATTGAGAGTTTGCTTGATTGGTACTCACTTTGTCATAATTAGACCAAGATTTCCTACTGGAAGATGTGTCAGCTGTTAATCTGTGTATAAGACTGTAGGTGTCAGCCGACTTCGCACATCTGATGAGGTCGGTTTCCTCTTTGTCTGCCAAGTGAAGACGGATAAAAGCAGGAACACGTCGAAAGAATTCCTCGACTAGAATGAGGTTGACGACGTCTGAAAATGTAGAAACATCGGCTGCTTCCAGCCATTTCATGAAATATCTTTTCTTAGTATTGGCAAATTCTAAATAGGTGGTGGTACTTGACTTTAGATAATCACAGAATTTTCGTCTGTAGCTTTCGGTGTAGAGAAGATAGGTGTCTAGAACGGCTTGCTTTAGGATTTTGGAGACATTCTCAGACGCTAAGGTACTGAGAGTAACCGCAGCTCTACCTGCGAGATATACTCTGAGAAGTATAGACCACTGACCTTCAGGCCAGCTAAGTTTTTACTAGGGCCTCAAAAGTAGTAAAAACCACATCTATCTGTCTCAACGAATGGTGGCATTAACTTACTTGCCTGGGAGATGCTAAAGCTTACTGGAGGACTGGCTGTTTGTGGTTGGCGTGTCTTTTCCAATTCCACTTCCTTTCTTTTCTGTTCTACAATGATGTCAGCTTGTTTTTCTGCAGCTACTAGTTGAAATTCGGCCTTTTTCTTCGCAAGGTCGTACTCTAACTCTAGTTCTTCTTTATGCCTGGCAGCCTCGCGTTCCTTGAATTGTAGAGCTTCTTTATGGCGTTCACGTTCTAGGGTGGCAAGTTGTCATTGTTCTTTCGCTAGTTCTAACTTTAACTTCATAGCTGCTATAGTATGCCGGTCTGTAATGGAATAGTTTTCGTAAGAATCAGAGTCTATACTTCCATTATCTAAGAGGTGGTCAAGGATAAGGTTATGCAAGTCACTTTCGGTGGCTCCATGCGTAACATCTAGGTGGTACTCATGTGATAGAGTTTGTAATTCTATCTTCTGGGCACTAATTAAGTTCCCTACTTCATTTGCTGGATCACTACGAAATGCTGAGAGACGAAACATTTTGAGATATCAAACAGATGTATAGAGAATATACCTGTGGTATTATAAGTGTCAGTAACAGGATGCCGTGGCAACTGGTGACTATCCTGTGGGAATTCAATCGTTAATGTGAAAACAATTAACGTTAATATTAGATGTTAAGTGATTAAATAATCAAAATGCAGAGAAATTTTGTACCCGGCACTGTATATATGAGAATAAGGGCTAGAAAATCCTACTAAAATAAATGAAACTTTGATAGTTTCAAAAGTGAGAGGTAGTCCAAAACGTAGGGATACCTTGCCGGGTCTCTATAGGACAGAAGCAAGGGGTTTCCTACTTAACTAGATGACACTTACAGAATTAGCATTCTTTGTGCTCTGGAAAAGAATGCCAATTCCCTACCTGTGTAAGTATCATAATCTCTGACCGACGCGTAGGGGTGCAAGAGTCAACTGGTGACGAGAACTGCTGTTGAGGTCCCAACTAAACAGCGTAGTCCGTGCGGGAGGAACTATGGCCCTCTACATCCTCCTTCGGTCAGATTACAGAAGATAGAGTACGTGTCCTGAAGACAAACCAAAGTACCAAAGGTACCAAAGGGGTGAACTGCTGTATATGAGAAATATTCTAGGGATGAGAATAAGGTAATCTCAACCTCAAGATAACCTCAAGGTGGAATACACGAGTACTAACACCGAGGGATGAATAACCAATTAAGAGAGTGACTCTGGCCACCAGACACCATGTAATCCACAGTCATCCAACTCTCATAAAATGTTACACTCGGAAAGCACAAAATACACAGCACCATAAAAATTATTGAAAGTTATGAAATAATTGAAAAGGCAACGTGTAACAAAGTCAAGTACACTTAACACAAATTGAAATGATTGGTCTGGTATCAGTACCTGAGTAGTTCTTCCAAGACAAACCTTATTGTGAATAAAACTCCCGGACGGGCCCCCATAATTGTGACGAGAAATGTAGGTGTTAAGGCAGTCTTCTCTATGGCTGGTGTAAATGCCAATCACATAAAAAAAAAAAGAAAAAAAAATGTTGACTGCTTGGCGGTTGTCTCCTGTGGTAAAGTGAAAGGGAAAAACACGCAAAACAATTCTTATAAATAATGAACTTTAATTGACTTTAAACAAATATAAACAAAATAAAGATAATCCCTTGGCTATGTACAGTGCGGATCAAAATACATACAAAGACAAAAGACAATATAAAATAAAATAATGATTACGTTACTCTACAATAAGCAAGACAAAAATTAGTTAAAGGTGCTGAGAATAGTGGGCTGGCTGAAACCTCTACTAATATACAGGAAGTATGCTTAGATAGAAGCGTCAGCTCGAGAGCACGAGAATATTCTGAGGCCAACTGCTCGTGCGAGACTATATATAGACGATGCAGACGGCGCTGGAGTCACGTGAAGTTGGTGATTCACTAATGGGGAGATTGTTGATTTGAAGTGGTCGTTTGGTGATCGACGAGGTGGTGCGCCAGCAGTGAGGGAGGTGGGTGAGGAGAGTGAGAGTTGGGTAGTGTACCCCCTGTAGAGACGTCTGTTATTCCACTTATATACTATTCTTGAATGTGGTATCATGATGTGGCAAAAGTATAGAAGTAACTTTATGTAGGAAGGAACAGGCTAAATCTCTCTTGAAAGAGATTACTGTCACAACACAATAAATATATATATATATATATATATATATATATATATATATATATATATATATATATATATATATATATATATATATATATATATATATATATATATATATATATGCGAACAAGCCTGAATGGTCATAGATATTATATAATCACCTCATTCTTTGGGGCACACGTGAGGAACACAAATACGAACAAGCCTGAATGGTCCCCAGGACTATATGCAACTGAAAACTCACACCCTAGAAGTGACTCGAACCCATACTGCCAGGAGCAACGCAACTGGCATGTACAGGACGCATTAATCCGCTTGACCATCACGACCGGACATAAGGAAGTGATAGCCGAAGCTATTTGAACCACTTCCCTGCCAGCACTCGGATGGTAATCGTGGGCATAGCATTTTATCAAATCACCTCATTCCTTGGGGCACACGTGAGGAACACAAATGCGAACAAGCCTGAATGGTGATAGCTTCGGCTATCACTTCCTTATGTCCGGTCCTGATGGTCAAGCGGATTAAGGCGTCCTGTACATACCAGTTGCATTGCTCCTGGCAGTATGGGTTAGAGTCACTTCTGGGGTGTGAGTTTTCAGTTGAATATAATCCTGGGGACCATTTAGGCTTGTTCACATTTGTGTTCCTCACGTGTGCCCCAAAGAATGAGGTGATTTGATAAAATGCTATGCCCAAGATTACCATCCGAGTGCCGGCGGAGAAGTGGTTCAAATAGCTTTGGCTATCACTTCCTTATGTCCGGTCGTGATGGTCAAGCGAATTAATGCGTCCTGTACATACCAGACCTGTTTGTTTACAGGTCCTCTTTTGTGTTCTCACTATGAATTCCACCTTTATCAATCGGTCTCTGTCCTTCTTTTACTTTCCAAGCCTGAAAACCTTTTCGATGTTGTTGTCAGCCCTCTCCATCCTCACCTGTTTAAGGATATCAGTAACTTCATTTTTGTCTTTGTCTCTCCTCTCTGCTGGACTGGTCCCTGTTTGCTCCTTAATGCCTGCTACTACTACTACTACTACTGTTCTTTTTCTCTCAATCAACCGACAAGTATATTTAGCTGCTTCCTGAGAAGAGGCCATTTCTATGGTAACTTCCCATACTGCAGACCTAACTTCAGGGCTCTTTTTAAACAATTCTGCAAATGAGGGTTGTATTGTAGAAGTCCCCTCTACAAGTACATTACCGCCTCCCTGAGGGGTGGTTTGCGTCTGGTATTGAGTAGGATTCTCTCTTAGTCATTTTATTTTTATTTCTATATATTAATAACACTGTGTACCGTATGATTGACACTAGAGGCCTTTACCGGCCACCCTAACCACCAGAGCACAACTAGGTGAGTTAGAAGCGATTCAGCATTCACTGTTCTTTTCGTCCTGTGGCGCAGCCATATTCAAATTTCCTCCGTTGCGGCACTGATGTCGTACTCCTATTTCATTGACTAATTAGCCCACTAAAACAGAGTCACTGAAGTTTTTATTTCCTATCCATTGTGTAACACTTCGTAACATCACTACACAATGATTTTTCTCCGTATCCCTCAGATGTCCATCGTTATAGATACTTCTTTGAGGAGCGCGGACCGTCACCATGTGTCCCCACTCCCAGCCTAGCCTAAACGTGTGTATGTGTGTAATTACCTAAGTGTAATTACTTAAGTGTAGTTACAGGATGAGAGCTACGCTCGTGGTGTCCCGTCTTCCCAGCACTCTTTGTCATATAACGCTTTGAAACTACTGACGGTCTTGGCCTCCACCATCTCACCTAACTTGTTCCAACCGTCTACCACTCTGTTTGCGAAAGTGAATTTTCTTATATTTCTTCGGCATCTGTGTTTAGCTAGTTTAAGTCTATGACCTCTTGTTCTTAAAGTTCCAGGTCTCAGGAAATCTTCCTTATCGATTTTATCAATTCCTGTTACTATTTTGTATGTAGTGATCATATCACCTCTTTTTCTTCTGTCTTCTAGTTTTGGCATATTTAATGCCTCTAACCTCTCCTCGTAGCTCTGGCCTTTCAGTTCTGGGAGCCACTTAGTAGCATGTCTTTGCACCTTTTCCAGTTTGTTGATGTGCTTCTTAAGATATGGGCACCATACAACCCATGTGTGTGTGTACTCACCTAGTTGTGTTTGCGGGGGTTGAGCTCTGGCTCTTTGGTCCCGCCTCTCAACCGTCAATCAACAGGTGTACAGATTCCTGAGCCTATCGGGCTTTGCCATATCTACACTTGAAACTGTGTATGGAGTCAGCCTCCACCACATCACTTCCTAATGCATTCCATTTGTCAACCACTCTGACACTAAAAAAGTTCTTTCTAATATCTCTGTGGCTCATTTGGGCACTCAGTTTCCACCTGTGTCCCCTTGTGCATGTTCCCCTTGTGTTAAATAGACTGTCTTTATCTACCCTATCAATCCCCTTCAGAATCTTGAATGTGGTGATCATGTCCCCCCTAACTCTTCTGTCTTCCAGCGAAGTGAGGTTTAATTCCCGTAGTCTCTCCTCGTAGCTCATACCTCTCAGCTCGGGTACTTGTCTGGTGGCAAACCTTTGAACCTTTTCCAGTTTAGTCTTATCCTTGACTACATATGGACTCCATGCTGGGGCTGCATACTCCAGGATTGGCCTGACATATGTGGTATACAAAGTTCTGAATGATTCTTTACACAAGTTCCTGAATGCCGTTCGTATGTTGGCCAGCGTGGCATATGCCGCTGATGTTATCCGCTTGATATGTGCTGCAGGAGACAGGTCTAGCGTGATATCAACCCCCAAGTCTTTTTCCTTCTCTGACTCCTGAAGAATTTCCTCTCCCAGATGATACCTTGTATCTGGCCTCCTGCTCCCTACACCTATCTTCATTACATTACATTTGGTTGGGTTAAACTCTAACAACCATTTGTTCGACCATTTCTTCAGCTTGTCTAGGTCTTCTTGAAGCCTCAAACAGTCTTCTTCTGTTTTAATCCTTCTCATAATTTTAGCATCGTCCGCAAACATTGAGAGAAATGAATCGATACCCTCCGGGAGATCATT